GTGATATGTACTCTACATATATAATAATTAATTAATTAAAGAAAAAATTTTATAAACAAGTAAAAGCGCGACAGTTAAAGCTAACACTATACCAAATGTCTGATGCTTACCCAGAATATATAGAAGAATTTAGTATAGAAATAGCTAATTTCAATCCAATTGGTCCTACTGCCTATATACCTTTGCCCGAAACTTTGCCAAAACATAATAATGAAATTATTAATATTCAAAATGATGATGATTGGTGTTTTAGATGTAGTGTTTTAGGAGCTTTGCATCCTGTTAAAGTTCATCCAGAGAGAAATCCACATCGCTTATATAGAGCTTTCATGAAGGAAATTAATATGGATGACATTCCAATTCCGGTACCAGTCTCAACACCAGTTTATAAGAAGTTCGAAGAGAATAATCTAGAGATTAGCCTATGTGTTTACGAGTGGCATAACCAGAATGAATGTCTTGACTTTCGTTATATCTCAAAGAGAAGAGAAGAAGAATACAAACCTGTTAATCTTTTGGTGATTACAGAAGAGGATAGAAGCCACTACTGTATCATCAAAGACCTTCACAAATTAGTATACAATCATAGTAAACATAAAGGAAGAAAATACCTTTGTCAATATTGCCTCCATGTATATTCAGCAGAGATAAGATACAATGAACATTTGCCAAAATGCAAGAGTCTAAATAATGCCCCCAGTGACCACAAATGCCAGTTAAGAATAGGAGTATCAAAGCTTTTTATAATCATAAATGCATGCAACCAAATCCATATCACATTTTCTGGGATCTAGAAATGTTAACCGAAAAGTAACTCCAGAAGAGAAAATGAAGTTAGCCCATACTGAAAGATTACAGATGCACAAGCCGTGTAGCTATTATTACATAGTTGTTCGCATGGATAGTTCGCTAAACTATGAAATTATGAGTCATGATTTATATAGAGAACCTGATACGCTTAAAAGGTTTGTCACAAAAATTGAGAAGGAACTTTTAGCAATTCAGGAAGATTTATCTGTACCAGCTGAAATAATTATGGCACCAAGAGACTTAGAGGTGTACAATGAAGCAACCGAGTATTGGATTTGTAAGAAGCCTTTTTTCAAACCATCACAAGAAACATTAGAAAAATTTGAAGAAGCAAAGCATAGATTGCTAGAACTCAAAGAATGGGAAGCAAATATGAGGGAAGAGCATCCAGAAAAGAAAAAAATACAGAAAGAATATCATGAAGCTCTAAGTGCTCTTAACTGTAAAGTAAAAGACCATGACCATATAAGTGGTAAGTATCGAGGCCCAGCTTACGACTCATGTAACAAAAATTTGCGAATAGGATCTTTTGAAACTAAAGTACCCCTTATTTGCCATAATTTTCGAGGATATGATTCTCATCCACTTATGAAAGTTGTAAGCAAGTTCACGGCTGATAAGTTAAAATGTATCCCAGAAAATATTGGAAAGTATAAGGCCATGGATGTTGGTCAACTCCGATTTCTTGACAGCTTCCAACATATGGGAATGGGACTTGATAAATTAGTTGAATGTCTAGGTGGAAAGCTCGAAAAACTCCCCTTAACTGTCAAACATTTTACTGAAAAAGGTTATTCGATAGAAAAAAATTGAACTTCTTTTCCGAAAAGGTGTATTTCCATATGATTGGACAAATTCGTGGGATAAATTTGACAGAACAAAGCTCTCACCAAGAAAGGATTTCTATTCGATTCTTAGCCAACAAAATATAAGTAAAGGAGATTATGAATATGCACCAAAAATATGGCAGGAATTTAAGATGAAGAATTTTGGAAAATATCATGACTTATATCTTGAAACAGATGTACTTTTACTTGCGGATATTTTCATGAACTACACTATTATGTGCTTGAAAGATGATGGCTTAGATCTTTTCCATTATGTCTCAGCACCTTGTTGTTATGCAGGTTGTTGATGACTTGTCTGATTTCATCCTCTGTAATAGGCTTGGAATGTTTAATGATTCCTTATACAAAAGTAGTGGAGCTGAACTTAAGCTTATGACAAATATAAACGAATACTTGATGGTTGAGAATGGCATTCGAGGAGGGATGACAATGGCAAGTCACCGATATGCTAAAGCAAATAATCCTAAATGTCCTGACTATGATCCTAGCAAGCCAAAGTCTTGGGTACTATATGAGGATTTTAATGCTTTATATTCAGGTGCAATAACACAATATATGCCCACAGAAATATTAGAAAAGGTAGGTCCAGAGAAAGTTCCGGATATTCGAAGTATTGCACCTGATGCAGAAATAGGTTATACACTTGAAGTTGATCTAGAAGTTCCAGTGCATTTGCACGATTTCTTTGCAGACTATCCATTAGCGCCTGAAAAGCAAATAGTTCCAGAAGACTGGCTTAGCTTGTATAATGAAAGATTAGTCTATGATAAAGAAGTCGGGGTAGAAAATACATGTCCGAAAAGAAGTTAGTTCAGACTCTTTTTACTAAGAAGAATTATATAGTTTATTACCGAGCTCTCCAGACATATATGAAGTTTGGAATGAAGGTTACAAAGATTCATAGCACTCTCAAGTTTAGGCAGTCTCTGTGGATGAAGGAATATATTGAGGAAAATATTCGTAAACGCAAAATAGCCAAGGCAAATGGGGATGAGTTTGGGGTCG